CAATGTCACAAAGCCGGCAACTCTGGGCCCAAACAGAGGATCGAACTTTGACTTCAGATGTGTTCTATCATTATCTGACAAATGAGATAAATGTGTGTCTTCCGATAATTTGCAAATGGATCATGGAAGAATGAAAGGTGAAATCTCTTGCACCAGTTATCTGTGTTCAAGTTTTTGGGTTATGTATTTAGTAGTCCAATTAGAATTTGGTCCGCGGTTTGCCGTTCAACGAAACTTCCACATCTTATCAAATAAGAGGACTCTACAGATAGATACTGACTTATCTACGCCTAAATCTTCAAAGTGGTGTTTTTCTTTCAGGTTTTTCGATAACGATGTTTTATATATGATAAAGACCACAATGATAATAGCAAAAGAATAACAACAACAACTATTACTGTAATAATAGCGTTTATCTGCTAAGTAAAGAAATTCCGCTCCTTTTCAGAACCCGAAAGTTCATTACTTTGTTGCTAGCTTTTTATCTTCTGACAGGATGTATGCGTTTCTTCCACTTTACATGCTGACATTTGCTGCTCGTTTTTCGCTCAGTCAGCATATAAATCAAATACATTATATCCATCGAACCAATACCGTTCTGGGGCAGGAGACGCTGTTCTGATCGCTTGAATGGGCAGTGGTTGTGTTATCAGAATCAGTTGTCGCTTCATACAGAACAGACACTGTTTAAAATTTGGCTGCAGTTAACGTGCCAGTATCTAGCAATAAATAACCCTAGATAATTTTAGCCTCAAGGGTTTAGAGGGCATGCTGATGTAAGGGGTTAAACTTACTTTTTTTTATCATCCGACATTTGTGAAGAAGAAGTGTCTACATCCATTTCTGATGTGAGGCATACACAGTTCTTGTGAGGATGTTTTCCTAATAGAAACGAAAGATTCAGATCTTTGTGTGCGTTATTTGCACGGAATGTAAAAGTAAATGTGATCATAATCAGCCTGTCATTTTGTGGCCGCATATCATCAACGAATTTCAATAAAATGTATATGCCAAGACTGGTCTGGCGAATTTAATTTTAGATTATGTTGATTTACTACAACTCATACTTTATTTTGTCATCGTAAAAGAGAAAACTGGTGCATTATATGAAATATACGTAAAAATACAATACTTATTTGAAACATATCGACATGGCGAATGCGTGACAACATGTAAAGTTATCTCTGGTGCTTAACTAAGCACAGGGTTGGGGTGTGGAGATGTAACTCCACGCATTCTTAACTTGTTGAACAAAAGGCTAAGTGGGCTCCAGAGCCTGTCTGGACGTTGTGGCGAAGAAAGAACCCTGCCTTCCCTAAAATCGAACTCTGGTTGTCCAACCCGTAGCTTAGTCACTATAATAATACGCACTTCAGTAGAAAAACATGTTTTATTTTCCGGAAAAGTTTTATATCAAAACGCTGGGTAGTTGTGTCTCCATTAGTCTGACTCTGTTACTAAATTATTATAGCTGGCGAGATCTGTCAGCCATATAGATCTGAATTTGTAAGAAATCCTCATGAAGTCTAACGAGATATACAAAATTGTAACGCATTTGAAAATGTTTGTATTTCTCCTTATGGCTCTACCTGTTGGATATCCTAGATCACTTCATATAAGTGAGGGTTCGAGAATATTGTTTTTCGACATTTGCCAGGACTCCTTAGAACAGAGGTCGGTCCGTCGCAAGGCGAGGACAGACATACCTTGAGCGGAATTCGAACCCACGTTTCTGTTCGCACGGCCACTGTTATCGTTACCTGAAAAAAGTACGCCTTTCCAATCTTGCTAAAATTCTGAGTAATGTAGCAACCAATATAATTAATTTCAGCCAGTAATTCAGCACGTAAATTTAAATAATCGTTCAAAACTTAAATCGATTACTGCAAAGACACTTCGTTGATTTTTCTCCTTTCTTCGTATCCTTTATGGTTTATGTGGTCTTGTACATGTTTATAAACATCTGTTGACCCGTCGATAGCTTTTGTTACGACATTTGAAGGAATAAAAATAGACCGCGGCTTTCTAAAATCATCAACTTATAAACATAAATAACGGAATGTTACTTTGTTGTTTTATTTCTGTCGAGGAGCAAGGTACAGTGTTGTAATAACAGGACAATTGGCAGAAAGAAATTAAGAAAACATGATGCAGAAATAGATCTAGCAAACAGTTTGCATTTTCATAATTCTCGTGTTTATGATATCGTATTTTCTTTTGAACAAAATGATTTTATGTTTGTGGCAAATAATTTATAAAATCTATTTCAGTTTTAATGAAGGGCCGGATCGTGAATGAAGTGAATTTTGGAGCTGAAATATGTATATTAATTCAGAAAGCCATTTAAATGTAAAATTTGAACGTTTCACGGTGACTGAATGTATTGCAGCCTTATAGTGAAAGTTCCCCTCCTCAGTTATCAGGGCTTGATCAAAGTGACAATGTCCTAAATGATGTAGGCTCCTTCATATTGACACGACCCAATACCTGATAAGATTTCATGCAACCAACCGAAAACTAGAGCGGCCAACTAACTTAAAGAGTTGTTATAAATTACGTATTGGTCTATTTAATTTAAGCCAGCAGTGTTTTAAAGGAGATACTTGCTGTGCAATGAAACATGCCACTTGCAGTGAAAATAAGTGTATTCCCAAGAACACAGAAGTAAGACCAATATGAAACGCCTTTTCTAAAATTAGTGTTGTCCCGAGAATACAGACAGAAAACCAGTTAAAATACCTTCAATAAAATCACTATTTAAAATGGAAAATTAACAGGAAAACAATAACATTGTGGAACATAGTCTACTGTTGTCTTTTGAAACTTTTATTGATAAAACATGAGACATCGAAAATTACGAAACTTGTGGGAAAACTTGACTCGTGTATCGATATGTAGTGAACGATGTCACTGAAATGACGGACGTAACTGAACTCATTCGTTGCCAGATGACTCGAGGAAACTCTGTTGTGTACGAACGAATTCGTCAGTCTTGTGTACGTCGTGCTCGTGCCTGTGTGGAGAATGGTGGAACAACCTTTGAGCATAAAGAAACATCCCTGTCCTTATGCTTGGCAATTAAGTCATACATTGAAACTTATTTTTGGCTATTATTTCGAAAATTAAACATTTGCGATCCCATGTTCACAGACACATTTTTTCTTATGTTTGATCCAGGAACACGCACACAAAGTTTGTAAACTTACTTTTTAATCACCTTGTATAATAAGCAGGTGTTGGTAGCGTGGTTGATGATTATTTGCTATTACATTTTAGGCTGATGGAATAATATTTATGAAATTGTGTTGTTATTACCGTAGTGATGATAATGCTCTTAAGGAATTTGGGGCCTTATAGGATAATATTTATGACTACATTTTTACTACATTCGATTTTTACATAGTTCTTAGTGGGAGATTTGCTAGTAGGACTCCACCTACAAAAAGATGAACTCAGCAAATAGCCTAAACTCGCTATATTAATGTGCCATTTCTCCGCAAGAGAATCAACATTCGGTTGTATTAATGTTTACGACCATTTTGGGATTCCCTCTTCATTCTTAACGTGTTTATACTATTTTATTATGATATTTGTTAACTTGCCTTCCAAGGCGTTTGCTTCCTTTCTTCCTTTTGTGTTTCTATTCCGTACTACCTAAAAATATCATCTCTGTTGCCATTAGATGCTAATATCTGCCTTGGTCCATGTCCATATTTCAGCTCCATACGTTAATATGGGTATACGGTAATTTTTAAATGGGCTTATTTTACTGCATTCTTATTCATTCGTATTTTCTACTTTAACATTTCAGTTTGTCACTATTTGAGCTTCTAAGATCTTATATCTCTCCACTTTGTTCATTTTAACATTTGTTGTCTCTTATCCAGCTTACGTGATGTGGCATTTGACAGTGATTTAAAAGCAGGGAGAAAAACTATAGGTTATATAGTAATAAACAACCTTCACTGATAACTCGAGTCGAATTCATGTTGCAATGTTAAAACGTTTAGTCAGTCTTGTTGTAATATTGGGTGGCCTCAGGTTGAGATTTGGTGTCGTGTACCAAGAAATTAGTAGTGAATTAGGTGCCGGTGATGGCGAGGACAGAATCGCGTGAAGCCATCGTTGAACACGGTAAGCACATATTAGAATCGGGCATGTCGCTCTGATTTTTGGTACGTGTTTCACCAAACATCGAGTCCTTCTGTATCAAACGCGTTGCATTCGTTCGCTGTTAAGGTTTTTCAGTTGTAATTTCTTGGCATTTCATAACGCAGTGTGAGGGTAATTGGCAATTATTGGTTCATTATATTAAATACATATATTTCTGTGGTCTGTTTTTTAGTATAGACAATTTGATACGACATTTCACAAGTTGGATCTGCTCCCATCGTCATGTGACTTGGTTGTATTTAGTGGCTGAGGCACTACGATCTAATGCCCAAAATGTCTCCGATTCTATTCCAGCCGTCACCAGTAATTTTAAACTGAAAATAATAAAACACAAAGTTAATACACCAACCTTTACATTACTAGGGCTTTATTGGTTAATTATTTGTTTGACTGCTGTTGTATGCTATTTGATCACCCCTGTGCCTAATCTTTGAAATAAACAAAATAAGTATTTGTCTTGGGTTTATTCTATGAGAGTAACATGTTTTTGTATTTACAATTTTTCCAATGATGCATTGTTTGGGACAAATAGGATAGGATGGGCAGACGGTTGTATGTATGTATGTGTGTGCGTGCGTGTGTGTGTGTGTGTGTGTGTGTGTATATATATATATATATATATATACATCTCTGTTGCCATTAGATGCTAATATCTGCCTTGGTCCATGTCCATATTTCAGCTCCATACGTTAATATGGGTATACGGTAATTTTTAAATGGGCTTATTTTACTGCATTCTTATTCATTCGTATTTTCTACTTTAACATTTCAGTTTGTCACTATTTGAGCTTCTAAGATCTTATATCTCTCCACTTTGTTCATTTTAACATTTGTTGTCTCTTATCCAGCTTACGTGATGTGGCATTTGACAGTGATTTAAAAGCAGGGAGAAAAACTATAGGTTATATAGTAATAAACAACCTTCACTGATAACTCGAGTCGAATTCATGTTGCAATGTTAAAACGTTTAGTCAGTCTTGTTGTAATATTGGGTGGCCTCAGGTTGAGATTTGGTGTCGTGTACCAAGAAATTAGTAGTGAATTAGGTGCCGGTGATGGCGAGGACAGAATCGCGTGAAGCCATCGTTGAACACGGTAAGCACATATTAGAATCGGGCATGTCGCTCTGATTTTTGGTACGTGTTTCACCAAACATCGAGTCCTTCTGTATCAAACGCGTTGCATTCGTTCGCTGTTAAGGTTTTTCAGTTGTAATTTCTTGGCATTTCATAACGCAGTGTGAGGGTAATTGGCAATTATTGGTTCATTATATTAAATACATATATTTCTGTGGTCTGTTTTTTAGTATAGACAATTTGATACGACATTTCACAAGTTGGATCTGCTCCCATCGTCATGTGACTTGGTTGTATTTAGTGGCTGAGGCACTACGATCTAATGCCCAAAATGTCTCCGATTCTATTCCAGCCGTCACCAGTAATTTTAAACTGAAAATAATAAAACACAAAGTTAATACACCAACCTTTACATTACTAGGGCTTTATTGGTTAATTATTTGTTTGACTGCTGTTGTATGCTATTTGATCACCCCTGTGCCTAATCTTTGAAATAAACAAAATAAGTATTTGTCTTGGGTTTATTCTATGAGAGTAACATGTTTTTGTATTTACAATTTTTCCAATGATGCATTGTTTGGGACAAATAGGATAGGATGGGCAGACGGTTGTATGTATGGATGTGTGTGCGTGCGTGTGTGTGTGTGTGTGTGTGTGTGTATATATATATATATATATATATAGACTTGGATTATTGTACAAATTAAGTCTTTCAGTTTATAGTAAGTTTGAAATGTTAATTGAATTAAATTCCTAGGAATATTAAGATAAAGAAAGGGTATGTTCAAAGATTCCATCAAATAAATCTAATTATTATTTCAAATAAGTGAATAAATAAATAATAAAATAAGTGATAGGGAATGAAGGGAGTGTTTTTGTGTTCATTAGTTTTATAGCCTACTAATATATTTATTATTATTATTATTATTATTGTAATTATTAAGGTACAGATTTATGGGCATTAAATTTCTAATTGTTTCAGGAAACGCACAAAATGAATGTGAACAAGTGGATTTCGAAACAGCCATCTCCCTTACTGGTGAATACAGAATATTTCATGCTGTAGAGTAGGCCTGCTAAGTAATTGAGCACATGCTTTTAAATTTTGAATTATATTTATTTTATTAAGAGTGGTATTATGCATTAGAATTTCTAAAATTTGCTTCACATTTTCAATCTTTATGTAGCTGTCTTCACAATTTTCTGTGATGACTTGGTGAGCAGTTTGAAGTTGCCTGCACAAATATTATATTGTAGAACAATGAACTTCTTTGTATTTTGGCATGAAGTTCCAAGTTTGTATAATTTGCTAACTAGATATAAAAACACATTAAGTTCTGTGTAAGATTTGAGGTTTTCACAGTGGTGAGTATGAAGATTTCTGTCTTCTGGGTTGTTGCCCTGATGACGGAGGCAGTATGACCTCTGAAACGTTGGTTAACATCGACCAGACTACACAGCGTAACAACCCAGAAGACAGAAATCTTCACATTAAGTTCTGCTTAGAAGATTTCTGTTACCATTCTTCATTGTAACAGAACTTCAAACATTCTTTCATGAACTCAAATCAACATTTGAAACATATTTAATTAACTATTACAAATTGTTTGTTGAGGCTAGAAGATCGGTCGAGTACTGGTCTTCATTTATGTTTTCGTTTTGTGTGGCATAATAACACTAGACAGTTATTCTTATCTTTGACGTATTATTCAGGTTATGGAAAATTCAACTACGTGCTCAATATGGTTGCGATACCTGCCGTCTGGTCCACACTATTTGACACAACTACAATGTCATACATACTGCCCTCTGCAGAATGCGATCTGAACCTTTCGGACCTGGACAAGGGGATTCTGAATGCCATGGTGTATGGAGGTAAATCAGTGTTAAGATTTTAATCTTTCCATGAATAATAATGTGTTTTCAGAACCCTGTCCTCAAGAATTAAGAAATAAACATGCTTGATTTTCAAAGACAAACTCAAATAGAAAGTCAGAAAATTATAAGTCTTTTGCTGATAGTTTGTAATATGTAATAGCTTATGGTCATATTTTATAACAGGGATGGTGTTGGGCGCCTTCTTTTGGGGGTTTTTATCTGACACCCTTGGCAGGCAGAAACTTCTTCTGACTGGCTACTACCTGCTCACTGCGCTAATTATAGCATCAAGTTTCTCACAGGCATTTTGGATTCTCGGTGTTTTCAAGTTCGTAGGAGGATTTGTGTAAGTTTCCTATGGCTTTTGTAATTGAGTTTTGCCATAAAGTGACAACCACTTTTGTTTACCTGACAATGTGCCACTAACAACTGAAACATGCTGTAAACCATTTATTCATACTTGTATTATTAACATTAGTAAATAATTGATGTTAAGAACAGCATGATGTGTTTCTATGTTGACTGTTCAGTGTCAGAGAGCTCTCTGCCATTTTCTGTTTCTGTTCTCATACATAGATAAAAAGAAGGCAAATAATTAATTATAAAATAATATGATCAAGTGTTATAAACCATAAAATAATTTGATTCAGTGCTGAGGTATAGTTTTTAACCATTCAATATTATAACATAATTATGTTATTATCTTTTAATGTTGGATCAGTTTTAATTAAATTATACGCCATTTAAGCTGGATTTTCCTTCTTCATATGCACTGAAATCTGTGTGTAAAAATTGCATTTATGGCTAAATATTTTCATATACCCTGTGTAATATGTGAAGTATGAAATTGTAGTACAGAAATTTTACAGTTAGTTCATCTTTATGGCTCCATATTTAAGGAATTATTTGTATGTGATTAAAAAGTTTAGTGGTCTTCAATCTTGTCATTAAAGGAATGGTAAGCTCATTTACTATTTTCTGTGTTGTGCTTCAATATTTTTCCTGCTTGACAGGATATATAATTTTGGTCCAAGAAGGGAGTAAAGGATATTCTCATTAATAAAATAATTGCATAGTAGAATATCAAATGTATGAACCAGAATTTACAACTTATGCAAAAACTAATTTGAAGGTAATTGCAGTTGAGGAGAGAGAAAACATTAAGGATTCTGGGTGACTGATCCAATTTTATGAATGTATAGGGCATGTGGACCATATGCCATTTTTATGACATACCTTGCTGAGTTCAATAGTTGTCACCACCGAGCCAGAGCCATGATGATGATTGGGATCTACAGTGCCATGGCATTTGTTGCTGTTCCAGGTACATGGCCTTTTTCAGAGCTGTCATATCAATGCATATAATTTGATGTTTAGTTGTTACAATTCTTGCTCATTATTCTCTGCATGAAGAATATATAGTTGTCAGAAAACAGGTTATGTTTACAGCTGTAACTGATTGTACCAATAGTCTGTTACCCATGAAATAAAAATTATTATGGCTTATTAACAAAGATTGATGTACAGTATTACAGCTACAACACTTTGCTTTCAATTACTGTGTTTTTTCTTTCATGTCAAAGAACATTGCTGTATAAAGTATGTTTTGGGTCTAATAGTTCTGTCATGCGTACCCCGCCCTAGTTTTGTTTATGTACTTTTTTATGACTTTCATGCAGACGTGATTGTACACTTAAAATATTGCATACTGCAAGAGAACACAAATTGCTGCCTCATTTAAAAGAATGTTATTTATTTGTATCTCTTGACCAGAAGTTACCAGTACAGTATTTTGGTTTCAAAATTCCATTTAAAGTGTAATTATCATCTTTTATTTTTGAGCAGTCAGTCAAAGGTATTTTTAGATAATATGTATCTGCCTCACAATTTAAGAACTTGTATAATTTATTAGTAGTTACAATGCATTTTGATGTTTTATGCAAACATAACATTTTGACACACTTTAGTTTTTGTTTGGATATTGCTCTTTGGTATACTTTTTACATAACCACATCTATCAAAGTTGTCAGCTGAAGTAAGATCTCAACTGATCACTATTTGTTAAATGTAGTAGAATGGCTTGCCATATCTACATGCTGACCTATCTCTAAGGGTTTTAAAAGTTGAATGCAATAATTAAACATTGATGCTGATATCCGAGACTATGCTGTAAATACAGAGAATCATATTTACAAACTTACATTTCTCTTCCACACCTAGAAGAAGGCAGATTATATTAGGAAAGTATCGGTCTATGAATCTATTAATTTCAGAAGTTGTAAGGACAGGAACATCTCCTTTTGACTAGATAATTCCTTCAATTTCACATGCTTCTTTTCCAATTCTTCAGCTTTGGCATGGCTGTTAATTCCACAGTCCTGGTCATGGACATTTTTTGGGGGCTACATCACATACAACTCCTGGCGCATCTTCCTTCTAGCATCTGCTACACCAAGTTTTGTGGCAGGGTGTTGCATGTGGTTCTTGGATGAGTCACCAAAGTTTCTCATGTCCTGTGGCAGAATGGATGAAGCTCTTGATGTCTTTCGGAGAATTTATAGTATTAACACAGGCAACCCTCCAGAAACTTACCCAGTAAGTCTGTCAAATTGTGATAAATGTAATACTTTGGTTCATAATTAAGCATTATGAACCAAAGTATTTACTACAAATGAGCATTTCTATTTTTGTCTCATCCTCCTGTTAGATTCTGATATTAAAAAAGTGCCTTAATAACTGTTGTAGGTGAAATTCCTGCTCAAAGAGAAGTCAGGCATCTTGATATCAGATGTACCAAATAACAGAGTATTGATACTTCTTAAACTTGGTATGAAGCAAATGAAGCCATTCTTTCACAAACCACATGTTGGAAAAGCAGCATTAGTATTTGTCATCCAGTTTGGTGGACTGTGGGGGTAAGCATTAGATAAATTCATACTGAAGATGACTTTCTTCATAACTTAACATAATATTTTGTATAATACTTCATTGCATTGATCACTTTAATTAACTATTTTATGATTTAGAAATTAATCATTTTTCATGGAAATGTGGTTGAACACAGGAAAATATTTTGAGTACAGTGAGCCCTTAATAGAAGACTAAAAAATCTGAGAAATAATGTTTTTCACATTTTCTGTTCTGGTACCCATTGATGAAAATATTCAGCAGAATTTACAGACAATTTTTTAGATGTTAGCATATAAGTTATATCTGTGTTTCAAAATACAGTAAGTTAATTGAAATCAGGGCATTCATTTTGTTACTTAAGAGATATTAATATTTTAGGTTACATATATTACAGGTAGTGCTGAGGTTTACATTCATACATCTTTATTACATTCCATGGATCCATGATTATCTTATGGATCCATGGAATGTAATAAAGATGACAATAGGATGTAAAAAAGTAATAATAATAATAATAATAATACAATACATATTATAAAGTACAATTCATACTATTATATAAATTTCACATAATACAACAAAGGGTTCACCTAAAGTACTGATAAGTTACAAATAAATCTACCCATTACATACCGAAGATAAATTATCACTTATTTGTAAACAACGGAAAGTAGGTGGTAGTATTGTGCCTATGTTTCTTATTTGTAAGGAATGATAGGCTGTTGACAGCATGTCCTTGTACCTGTCTGAGCCTAATTATCTCCCTGATGACGGAGGCAGTATGACCTCTGAAACGTTGGTTACCATCAACCAGGCTACACAGTGCAACAACCCTGAAGACAAATATCTTCAACACTAACACAATTTATATTGTAATTGTATCTACAAATTTAATGTAGTCTGAATCAGTCCTAGTTGAAATTATGCACATAGATAAATCACTAAATTGTGTAACTATTAGTTTATAGTTTCTGCCTCACCATGTTGACTGAAGGTTTTGAAGGAAAAAGGCATTATATTAGAATGTCTCTGATATTCTGAATTATTAATGATGATTAATGATAATTATTAATGATACTGGTTTATCATTTTCAACAAAATATGTTATATTATTTTGTCAGCTTAATCAGTCATTAAGAGTAGCTAACACAAATGTTTTTATATTAGTGCTAAGCCTATTCAGTCCAGTTTATATGTTGACTCCTTATTATATAAGAAATATTATATCATTCTCACATCTACCAAGTGATTTTTTCCCCCAGAGCCACACCGCGCTGTGGGTGCATATGAGGGGTGGCAACATTAGAGCAGTTGCAACCTGCTATGGGGGCACAGACTTTGAAACATTGCATTGGAGAGCTGAAAATCAGGGGCAGCGCCAGAGGGTAGCAAAGTATGCAATTGCATATGGTAGCCATGGTTGAAGGGGCACTAAAAAAGAGCTGAGATCCGTCCATAATGTAACTTGGTAATCGAAAAATAAAAAAAATTAGTACTTATACATAGGGATGGCAGAATGTGTTTACACCCAGGCGGCAGATATGCTCATCGTGGGATTGTCTTCCCGTATAGTCTTCCAGCCTCAGTTTCATCTGCATTTTTTATTACATCTATACGTCATACATCCTGGTTACCTAAATCAGCTCTTTAATTTAATTATTCTTCGATTGTTAGATAATTAATAAAAATGTTGATACCCATTACTGTGTAATTGTTATAAATTCTCTGTTTGTTTATCTTTCTGAATTAATATTCTGCAGGGTCATATTAAAGTCTTTGTACTTCATTTAAATTTGCAGTCATTAAAGATGATTTTAACATTGACAACTGTTACAGAACAAACACAATACGACTGTGGCTACCTCAGCTGTTTGCCATCATGGAGGAGTATTTTATCAACAACAAGTCTGTTTCTGAAAATGCAACTTTGTGTGATATGCTGGCATCCCATACTTGGACAAAAGTTACATCCAATGAAACATTGACCCTGACTGATGCACCGTGTGTTCCTGTAAGCTACTGACATATACGAAGTAAAGAGAAACATGAACTGGGGTTAATGTTATTATGATCTCTTCATGGTCTGATAATGATTTTTATGGGGTTTTTCTAACATATGCTTTTAAAGTACGATAGTTTGGGATTAATTGGATGCTTCATTACCTGATTCTTGTTAATTATATCCATTTTAGAACTTCAAGATTACCATACTGGGTTTGGTCCTATAATTTAATAAGGTTATGACTTATTATTTCCAGCTCATGCAAATTCATTTTCTTTATGCACACAAAATATTCTTTAAATTTAGAAAAATACAAAACATTTAGTATTGCTATTGAAGGAGTGAGATAATCTATGTGAAACAGAGGGAAATATTTTATTCACTTAATTATTTGTAGCTTATTTAATGACACTGTCAGTAGTTCAGACTGTGTAGTGTAAAATTATAGGATACTTGATGAATAATGGATAGTAAAGGATATGGAATGAAGCATTCATGGCCTAATTTAAGGTACTTTTCTGACATTTGCCTGGAGGAACTAAGGAAAATCACAAAGAACCTGTCAGGCTAACCGGTCACTGAGCCAAGATTTGAGCCTGGATCTCCCAGATATGAAGCGGGAGTGCTGAGCTCTCAGCCATGATGTTTTGCAAGTGAAGTGAAACTTGCTGTCTTTGACACTGATATGTAATATTGCTGAGAATAGCAAGATTGAGCAATTAAGTACACAAAGTTTGTGATGAAAACAGTATGCGTTATATTTGTATTCTCTGCTACTAGTTTCAGGCTAATACCAGTCATGTGCATCTCTGACATATTTTCCAATTTGTCAGAGTCTCAGACACTTCAAGATATTTTCTGAGAAATATACAAAATTTTCTTTTTATGTTTTATTTATTTTTTCATGCAAATTACAGAAAGGCTTTCAACATTTGGAACAGAGTAGGAAATTTGAATTTTGTTAATAAAATAAATTAGGTTTAAAGAAACTTAAAATTTAAAAGAAAGGCACTTGACATGTTTTCATTTGCTCCATAATAATGACCATGCATGGTTTATGCATCTGTCTCAGGTAAAGTTAAAAGATATACCTAAAGTTGTAAATTTTTTGTCAGAAAATTTGTTACATAGCAAGAAACCTGTAAGAGTAAGTACAATTGTTATGAAATTTATTAATTTATAACTTTTTGTGTTATTCTTTGTATGGGTCAGTACTAATTGTTAATTCAGATAAAAATACAGAACAAAGTAGATATTTTTAAGGATTATGTTAGAGACAGCAATTCAAAATTAAAGTCTTTTGTTTTATTTTAGGTACAGTTAGGTGACACAATGTATATGTATTCAATTATTGTTGGAGTAGCAACTGCAGCCTTCAATCTGACTGGAAGCTCGGTCATCAACTGTCTTGGCAAGAAGAAGATACTTGGTATGTTGATATAACATATTAATGAAAAATGTTTAATTATACTAGCTTCTACAGTTTTGTGAAATATTCTTCAGTAATTAAATTACTACAACTGGTTTAGTGTATTCTGATTGATTTTCAGAACTGATTAAATTTGTCCAACATGAACTAATACATAATATTGACTACACACAGTGACTACTTTACTGAACTTTTAATTACTTTAAATTATTTTTTCTGTTGTTTGCTTCATTTTGCAATAAAAATTATGCTGTTTCAAATGCGTAAGTGGCACTAATATAATCACTCACTATTGAAGTTAATGAACCTTCATCTGCTATGCAGGATAGTGTTTTCCCACATATGTTATGTAAAGATTGGTCAAGAACTGTAACAGGTCATTTCCCTTGCAGTTGTTGGCTACGTGGTGTCATGTTGCTGTGTGGTAGCAATGTACTGGTGTAATAGTATGGAGGTAATGCTGTTGCTTGCTTCACTTACTGTGGGCTCTGGTTCCATGTGCTCCCATGCACTGATAAGTGTTGTAGTGGACCTCTTTCCTACAAGTCTAAGGTAAATATACATCTTCTAAAAAAATTTCCTATTGAATTTAACTAACTCAATGGAGCAGAATTCTTCTTGAGAAGCTAGTCAAGTAATTCTTTGCATTTTATGAAACCTGAAGGTTCATTACTGCATTCAAATGAGCCTATCATTGGTCTCTTGTTAAGCCACATGAGTCCAGTCTACACACTCCCACTCTGTTTCTTTATTATCTTCCCATCTGTGCCTAGGAGCTCTGAGTGGTCTATTCCTTTAAAGTATCCCAACCAACATTCTTCACACATTTATAATCTCATGTGTGCCACATGTCCTACCCATCTCATCCTCCTTTATTTGATAACCTCACTAATATGTGGAAAAGAGTATAAATTATGAAGTACTTTCTTTTCAGTACATTAAACTACTGAGTTAGGTCTGAGGCTTCTTGTGATTTCTGATTAGTTTGTCAGAATTTGACCTTTGTGAATGGTGCCAGTGACATCAGAATTATTTGGGATAAAATTGTATTTTCTTGGGTGGGGTATCTGGTGCCTATCCAGCTGGGTGAAGACATGAGAATTTCTCCATGTGAGTAGGCAGCTTATTGGGAATTCTTCATGCAACCCTAGTTATGTATGCTGACATAAATGCATGTAGATGTTAATTTAAGTGCCCATTATTGCAGTCCACGTTTAGCAAAAATTAAAATGTATTGACAGATTTTAGTAATACCACCCAATATAAAATTTCACAAAAATCTCTTAACCATTCTCAATTTGTTGCATGCAGATAGTTGGACATAAACAGCAAAACTAATATGAATATTTTTGCAACTCTTTCTGAAAACACAGCTAAAAGTATAATTCTTTGCTCTTCATGTTTTCTCAGCATGTATTTGTAACATAAAGATTATATTAAGCTTTAAGCCTGAAAGGAGTGTATTTGTTCCATAGCTTGTAAATGCCAGAGGCCAAATGGAGTACTGTCTTCCTTTATGTCTTGACATTATTAATAAGGGTGGCCTTTATTATTTTCAGAACAATGGCAGTAAGCTTGACCATGATGGTGGGTCGAGTTGGCGCCCTCTCAGGAAATATTACTTTTCCTGTTTTCCTGGGAGTCAGTTGTTCGGTGTCATTCTTCCTCCTTGGATCCATCACATTTAGTTAGTATCAGTTATATGTTTCAACAATCATTTACATGTGCATAGTTTTATAACTTGTTTCATTGTGTTTACGATCATCAACAATCAATCAGCGTTCGTTCATAAAGTGATTGATTCACACAGGAGTTAATACTCTTTGCTTTTCTTGCATTGTAAAGAACAATCAGAGCAGTATGAAATCAAAAATAAGGACACCACTCTTTTCTAGGAAAGTCAAAGAACAAGATGCTGTATTTACGCAGCTAACCAAAGCAAACTGTGATAATATCTTTCCATGAATCAAATTCACAAGATCTGTTATGAAGTATGAAGTCAAGGAGATCAGAACAGAACCTGTGTTTCTCTGATGGGTTTACTGTGGACCGCAAAAAGTTGTGCTGTGATCTAGTTTCTCAGGTTTCTAGGTCAGTCAGCTGATCATAAAAAAATCCAAGAACGTACTGATTTTGTCACAGTAACATGCTCATTGGCAACGACAGGTATAAGGGTGTTACGCAATCAGAGAATGGAAATCAATTTCATTGGAAATACACATAGTAACTATTAAATAAATAACATAAAAATTATTAAATGAGCATTGTAAGCAGAACAAAGGTATAACACAGACAATATAGTTACTAGGCTATGGGCTGGACAACTGGGCTTGTTTCCCATCAGAGCAAAATTTGTGTACATTGCAATGTTCAGACCAGGTCTAGGACCCACCCAGCCTCTTGAGGTAAAAGTATTCTTTCCTAAGGGGTTAGAGCAACTAGGGCAGGGCATCTTCATCTAGTGCTGGTGTTGAAAAAGTAATACAAATAGTTTTAGTAGTGAAAAATAATACATTAGCCTACCCAGTGTCACTGTCTGATGAATCATCATACTTACTTCAGTCACTTTCGTGGATTTAATAATATACTTTTATATTCTGTTACTTCTGTTCCAGTTTGCAGTGCTTTAGCACTTTTACTGCCAAGGACTCTTGGGAAAGCACTGGAATGAAGCACATTTTAGAAACTTCACATGATTTCTTAATCATCTGCATTACTATCAGTATCTTCAGGAACCTGTCTTACCTCATATATTATTTATTTGTAACATTCACTTTAATTACATATGTTATTGCTTATTGTTTGGAATAAAATAACAACATGGAACATAATCTTGAGAAGCTAGTATGTACAGAACTACTAAATAGATTTCCTGCCTCATGTGGAAGCCAAAGGTTCATTATTATATTCACAAGAGCCCATCAATGAACCCTATTCTACCTATCCTGAGCAGATGAATTCAGTCCACATACTCGCATGCTATTTCTGTAAGGTGTGTTTGAATATTATCCTCCCAGCTACACTTATGTCATTCAAGGTCTCCTCTTTATGCTAAAATGTATGTATCTCTCTCTCCCCCATATGTGCTACATGGCCTACCCATTCCACTCTCCATGATTTGATCACACTGACAGTATTTAATGAAGAAAGAAAATGATTGAGCTTCTGATTTAGTATACTTCACTTCAGAGATTTTGTGTTGCAATGTTGAATACTGATGAAATGTTTAAAATTCCTTGTGCAATGTTTAAAGAACACCAGTAAAGAACTTTACAGTTTCTGGGAACAAGTGATATACTGCTTTACATACATTCACAAAAATGGGAAAAGATATTTTTGGAACTAATTTGCTGTGTGAAATCTGAATGTAACATTGAAAAGAATGAATGTGAAATAAGGTGACAGAACAGTAATTAATCTTGAAGACTGGCTTCTTAGAAGTTGTTCCATGTACGTATGGTAGTTGTTTACCAACATTTTACAAGTGGTTACTTACTGTCACCATTACCAGGGCAATTTAATCGAAAAACCAAATGAACTACCGCCACCGGACGTTTTAATAGTCCACTTCACTAGACGGCATTTGGCAGTATAGCGCAATTGAAGTGAGAAGTATGATACATTTATTTTTACTCAAAAGACAAAGCAAGTTCTACTTTGTCATAGACAACTTGTGATATTTGGGTTTCAAAATTACTCCTGGCATTAAATGAATAGATTTGTCGAAATGGCAAAAGGTGGGTTGGGGGTTGGAAGACTCATGTGCATCACTGGTATCGCCCATATGTTTTTAAATAACTGTGAACGACTCACAGGTGGAAGACTGGACTACTCATTACACTACTCGTAGATCCAAGGTGTTTAACTGTAAACGACTCACAGGTGGCAGAGCAATACGAACCACTACGAAGCTCAAAAATTTAATTAATCATGTACGATTTGAAGTTTTCACAGCTGTGAGTATGAAGATTTCTGTCTTCTGGGTTGTTGCGCTGTGTAGTCTGGTCGATGTTAACCAACGTTTCAGAGGTCATACTGCCTCCGTCATCAGGGCGATGAATAATTAATCATGTTAGATTGACGATAAATGTATATCCATGACCACAGATGACCCAAAAATAGTATCTTTAACTATAAGTCTAAGGCTTTTCGACCATTGAAGACTGTTTGGCGGTTAGAATTTTGTGTCCTAACACGGAAATTGTTGTTACCAGAATTAGGAGAAAGAATACACTGCGGTTATGATCGATGGCTGCGACTGAGTTGCATGTTTCTCCATAATAGTCTGTGCTTTGTGGGCCATCTCACATCTTACGGACATTTGCGAGAATCACAGATGATCTGATGGTCTTTGTTAGTGAATGGTTAGGTGGTTTGTAATGAAATAGTGGTGCTGCATAAGCAGTGTGTTCTAAGTTATACGTGAATATATATTGAAAATAATACCATGGCGTCAATGCCGGGAACTTTAGCTTTCGATGAATATGGTCGTCCTTTCATTATAATTCGTGATCAACAAAATCAAAAGCGATTAACTGGTGTCGATGCCTTGAAGGTTAGCTTTGTTTTTTCTAGTTATGCAATAATTTAAGATAAAAAATTATTCTTATATTGTGCATTAATGAACAGAAGCAGAACTTTGTATTTCTTCTTGCTGAGCAGTATAAAGTGTTAATTTTTAGTTATTAACGTATTTGGTGAACGGACCACCTATGTATTTTCTGTAAGTAGTTCGTGGAAGTGCTATGAGTTTGGGATGTGAATTTTTGTTCACAAATATCTAGAAGTGATTAGCAGTAAGATATCTGAAAGAAACGATCAATAGCAGCATCTATGATGATTCGATCAAGATGGTTAGGTTAGTTGTAGATACCGGGATAGTGTATATTGATTGATATATGGTGATGACTTATTGGCCTGATGATGGAGGCTGCAAGCACCTGAAACATTGATAAACTTATGCCAGATTACAGTGTGCAATATCCCAAAAAACAGTCATTTTCAAAGAAGGATTTTTAGCACTACATCTCAGCACAGCCTTTCAGCTATGAGTGATCACTGCTTTGGTTGCGAGTTGGCAGTGACATTATATTTCTTTGTGATATGATTGAGTATTGTTTGATTCCTGTTAGGGGCAGTATTTTTCTTTGAGGTCCACCCAACCTCCTATTTAGTGGGTACTGGGCTGTATTTGGGGGGAGGGGGGGAAGAAGCAGCCCTAAAATGTAGCTAAACACTCACCCCCATCTTGTGCTGAGGTTATGAATGCGTGGAGCTATGCCTCGGGTTTTCTGTAGGTTGCTGTGCTTAGTAAAGCACTGGGGACAACTTTATGTTTTGTTTCATCTCTTTGTCACATTGATGTTTATTGTCAGAATCTGTTGTTTACTGTTTTTAATGTTTTGCTTCTGTTCAGAGTTATTTCAAAACAGTCTGTGGAGGCAAACTGATCAGTTGAAATGTTTGTGTTAGGTCTAGTTCTGCCTTTCTCATGCAAAATTTTTAATGAGCCAAGCTACGTTTCTAGAAATATATGTATTAATTAGCTCTGTTGAAGCATAATACGTGCTTTATTGTTAGTCACACATTCTGGCTGGGCGTTCAATAGCCGACACATTAAAGACGTCGCTTGGACCAAAAGGCTTGGATAAGATGATGGTTAGTCCTGATGGTGATGTCACTGTTACAAATGATGGAGCTACAATATTGAAACTTATGGATGTTGATCATGAGATCGCTAAGCTTATGGTGCAGCTATCTCAGTCACAGGATGATGAAATTGGAGATGGCACTACTGGAGTGGTTGGTAAGTTTTTCTTTTTTCCTCCTGAAATCTTAATTTGTGTGCCTTGTATACAGGTAGTTTAAGCTCTGAAGTGTGAAGAAACTCAATAGTGGAGGTTATTTACCACTGTTGAAGTGTTTACTGTGTGGTGAAATGAGAATGAAGGGAATGTATGATGGGGATTCAATTATAATTTATTGATCAGTAAATATGCTTTTTACACTTGAATATGATATGATCCTAAAAACCGAACATTGTGGTTGAATGGTTAACACCCCTGCTTCGTATTCTGGAGGTCCTGGGTTTAAATCTTGGCCTGGAGACCAGGTATCATGACTGGGATTTTGTGGTTTTTTCCATTTCCTCCAGACAAATACCAGGATAAGTCCTTAAATTAGGATACAACCATTTTCTTCCATGTCCTTTCTAATTCATCATTCATTATCGTCCACTAATTGGACATTGTATAGTCTGAGCTACTGAAAGCACATCGTTAAGTAAACTATAAATAAATAAATAAATAAAATCAGAAGCTTAGGAGTAAATGAAAGGCACTCATCTTTGGAAAACGTTCCAAAGGTTGGTCATGTTGGTGGTAGCTGTGTTACCATATAAGCCATTATGTTATTTTCCCACCCACTAAACAAATTTCATAAAAGTTATGTACTGATCAAAGATCTATCAACATTCCAGATTTTATTAAAAATTCAGAACATGTAGTTACAATACCTCTTTCTCCGAGGTATGTTCTAATGTGCTTAAAAATACAACTCTCCTGTCTTGCCTTGCTTACATGTAATCCACTTTCCTGGATTTCCTAGCTGCAAACTCTGTTATGAGGTTATTGTAGTTGATGCTTGATGCTGCTACTTTCTTTATGGACAAAAGAACCATTCTACCCAACCTCTCTTGAGTCAAAGTTGTCTTCATATAACTCTTAATAATTATCGTCACTTTTGTCATTGTTTCTGTGTTGTCACAATATCTTATACTGTGCTGCAGTCATATTTGACAGAGAGGGGGAGTCTGTGTTACCTTACAGTTGAGTGAAAATAGGGGGAGGACAGAGTCATATTTCACCAGGCAACAATACTACAGCTCCGCAGCTGTGATTTTAGTATGTTATAACAAGAAAATGCAAAGCAGGCTTTTTAGAGATGTTATTTATTTGTATTGCATCAGGTTGTACTTGTTGAATAATAATGTAATAATCACCAACATTCACATGATTATATAATATGATTGAAATATTTTGAAACTATTTATCAGTAAATCTGATAGAATTCTTATATGCATTATATTAACATGTGTTTGAGTGATATTGAAACAACACACATTTCCTGTACTTGGCACTCACAGTCAGTCACAAAATTAGCTTGGTGCATATGTACATCAACAGTGAAAGAAAATTCAGACATAATGTGCAGAAGCATAAATTCTAAACTAGATGCATAACAGAAAGGTATAAGAAACTAATCATGAGCATGTGATAAAACAACTAAACCCCACAATATGTTCTTGTTCCAAATCTGTAATAATAGTAGAAATTCTTCCCATCTCTACGAACTTTTGTTTAGATATACTTGGTGCAGGAAAATTCACTGAACATTGGCACAGTGCAGTTACTAGTTCTTGAGTGAAATTTTACTTGGTCTTTTTGCTTAAGGTGACATTGTGCACGAAATATTTCATACATCATAATTTTTATGTCCAGGGGCCAGGGTGATTTTCCCACTCACTCTGCCCTAGGGATGGCCCTGATGTCAGTACAGGTGTTGCTAACAAACACATGAGGGTGTAAACTGGCACAGAATTGTGACATATTATTATTAATGTTACAATTTATGCAGTGTTGGCAGGAGCTCTTCTTGAACAAGCAGAACTTTTGTTAGACAAGGGAATCCATCCAATCCGTATTGCTGATGGCTTTGAACTGGCAGCACAGTGTGCAGTGAAACACTTGGAGAAAATTGCTGACAGCTTCCCTGTTGACTTCACAAACCTGGAACCACTTATCCAGACAGCTATGACAACACTTGGTTCCAAGATGTAAGATATTTCTGTTTCCTGATGCTTTACTATGATTGCATTC